TATGGCCCCTTCATGACTCGTGGACTTCAACTCCCAGAATTCCTGAGCCAGCATGGGGAACTATGGGCCCTTCATAACTCGTGGACTTCAACTCCCAGAATTCCTGAGCCAGCATGGGGGAACTATGGCCCCTTCATGACTCGTGGACTTCAACTCCCATAATTCCTGAGCCAGCATGGGGAACTATGGGCCCTTCATAACTCGTGGACTTCAACTCCCAGAATTCCTGAGCCAGCCATGCTGAGGGAAAATGGAGAGGTTTCCAAGCTGAGCCAGGCTGGCTGAGGAATTCTGGGAGTTGAAGTCCACCAGTCATAAAAGGGCCCCTGTTGTAAACTTTTTTATAGCAATGAGCATCCAAAATTCTGGCTTGCTATGAGCTCTATGGGCCAGCAGATGGCAGCCTTGTCCCAGTCAGGAGCCAGACTGTGGGATTGCTGAAGCTGAGCCCACCAACTCCACAGAGAGAGACCGACCCCCGCCCGCTTTGCCTCTCCCCAGGGGGGGGGGGAGGAAAGAATGAGGAGGGGCTGCTGGTTCCCCCTCCTCTTTGCAAGGGTGGGTTTTCTGCAACAGGGACAATGGGGGTGCCCAAGGCTGGGATATGGCTTCTTGAAAGAAAGGAAGAAGGAAAGAAAAGTCTGTTTGTGTGAGTGTGTGTGTGTAAGAGACGGAGGAAGGAGGGAAGGAAGGAAGAAGATAAAGGAGGGAAGGAAGAACGGTAGGGAGGGAGAAAGGAAGGAAGGAAGGAAAGGGAAGGGAAAGTGCAAAAAAGTGGAAGGAAGAAGAGGGAAGGGAGGGAGGGAGGGAGGGAGGGAGGAAGGAAGGAAGGATGGGAAGGAGGGAGGGAGGAAGGAAGGAAACAGAAGGTAAGTGAAAGTGCAAAAAAAAGTGGAAGGAAGGACAGGAGGGAGGGAGGGAGAAAGGAAGGGAAGGGAAGGTAGGTGAAAGTGCAAAAAAAAAGTGGAAGGAAGGAAAAAAATAAAGGAGGGAAGGAAGAATGGGAGGAAGGAAGGAAGGAAAGGGAAGGTAAGTGAAAGTGCAAAAAAAGTGGAAGGAAGAAGAGGGAAGGAAGGAAGGAAAAAGATAAAGTAGGGAAGAAAGGAAGAAAGAAAGGGAGGGAGGGAGGGAGGGAGGAAAAGGGAGAGGAGGAAGAGAGGAGGAAGGAAGGAGAGAAGGAAGGAAGGAAAAAGATAAAGGAGGGAAGAAGGGAAGGAAGAAAAGGAGGGAAGAAGGGAAGGAAGAAAGGGAGGGAAGGAAAAATATAAACGAGGGAAGGAGGGAAGGAAGAAAGGGAGGGAAGGAGGAAAGAAGGAAGGAAGGAAAAGGGAGAGGAGCAAGAGAGGAGGAAGGAAGGACAGAAGGAAGGAAGGAAAAGGGAAGGAGGGAGGGAGGAAATAGATAAAGGAGAAAGAAGGGACGGAAGAAGGAAAGGGGAGGGGGAGAAGGAAAGAAGGAAGGAAGGAGGGAGAGAGAAAGGAAGAGATAAGGGAGGGAAGACTGGAAGGAAGTAAATAAGTAAATAGAAGAAGAAGGAAGAGACGGAGGAAGGAGAGATGGAAGGAAGCAAAGATGGGAACAGATGAGGAAGAAAGGAACGGAGGGAAAGGGAAGGGAAGTGGAAAGAAAGTGGAAGGAAGAAGGAAGGAAGGAAGGAAGTTAAACAAAATCTGAGGGACAGAGGGAAATAAGAAAGGCTGGAGAGAAAGAAATGAGGAAGGAACAAGGTAGAAACGAAGGAGAAGAAGAGACGGGGAGGGGGGAAGTAGAGAGAGAGAGAGATAGAAATATATATCTTCCATGGCCAGAACAACAACAACACACAAAAAAAGTAAAGTAAAACTACACCAAGCTTCTGTTTAGCATCCAAACAATCTGTTGCCAAACGATGTAACCATTTAAATAATATAAGGTGTCTGCTCCAGCCCACCGTTTGACAATGCAAAATGGGAAATCTTTATTTTATGGTATTACTCTTGTGAGGAAGGGGGAGGTGTTAATTGTTTACACAAGAGATCGGCGCCCTGGTCACAGTCTGGATGAAAAACTACGGGCAAGTTTAAACACACCCGCACCATGTAAAATGGAAATCTAAATCAAATAGTAACAAGCAAACTCAGAGAAGGAACAAGCACCAAGATTGACAGACAGATCAAGAGATTAAATGAACTGTCGTAAGTTCCCCATACATTCCCTAGAACAGGGGTGGGGAATGGTGGCCCCTTCATGACTCGTGGACTTCAACTCCCAGAATTCCTCAGCCAGCATGGGGGAAACTATGGCCCCTTCATGACTTGTGGACTTCAACTCCCAGAATTCCTGAGCCAGCATGGGGGAACTATGGCCCCTCATGACTCGTGGACTTCAACTCCCAGAATTCCTCAGCCAGCATGGGGAAACTATGGCCCCTTCATGACTGGTGGACTTCAACTCCCAGAATTCCTCAGCCAGCATGGGGGAACTANGGAACTATTGCCCCTTCATGACTGGTGGACTTCAACTCCCAGAATTCCTCAGCCAGCATGGGGGAACTATGGCCCCTTCATGACTGGTGGACTTCAACTCCCAGAATTCCTCAGCCAGCATGGGGGAAACTATGGCCCCTTCATGACTTGTGGACTTCAACTCCCAGAATTCCTCAGCCAACATGGAACTATGGCCCCTTCATGACTTGTGGACTTCAACTCCCAGAATTCCTGAGCCAGCATGGGGAACTATGGGCCCTTCATGACTTGTGGACTTCAACTCCCAGAATTCCTGAGCCAGCCATGCTGAGGGAAAATGGAGAGGTTTCCAAGCTGAGCCAGGCTGGCTGAGGAATTCTGGGAGTTGAAGTCCACCAGTTATAAAAGGGCCCCTGGTGTAAACTTTTTTATAGTAATGGGCATCCAAAATTCTGGCTTGCTGTGAGCTCTATGGGTCAGCAGATGGCAGCCTTGTCCCAGTCAGGAGCCAGACTGTGGGATTGCTGAAGCTGAGCCCACCAACTCCACAGAGAGAGACCGACCCCCGCCCGCTTTGCCTCTCCCCGGGGGGGGGGAGGAAAGAATGAGGAGGGGCTGCTGGTTCCCCCTCCTCTTTGCAAGGGTGGGTTTTCTGCAATAGGGACAGTGAGGGTACCCAAGGCTGGGATATGGCTTCTTAAAAGAAAGGAAGAAGGAAAGAAAAGTCTGTTTGTGTGAGTGTGTGTGTGTAAGAGACGGAGGAAGGAGGGAAGGAAGGAAGAAGATAAAGGAGGGAAGGAAGAACGGTAGGGAGGGAGAAAGGAAGGAAGGAAGGTAAGTGAAAGTGCAAAAAGAAGTGGGTGGAAGGAAGGAAGGAAGGAAGGAAGGAAGGAAAGAAGGAAGGAAAAAGATAAAGGAGGGAAGAAGGGAAGGAAGAAAGGGAGGGAAGGAGGAAAGAAGGAAGGAAGGAAAGAAGGGAAAGGGAGAGGAGGAAGAGAGGAGGAAGGAAGGACAGAAAAGGGAAGGAGGGAGGGAGGGAGGAAATAGATAAAGGAGAAAGAAGGGACGGTAGAAGGAAA